CAATGCGTAAGAAATCACTCCGTTCTTTTCCGTACCGTGACACCGAGCGGTAATTATGTGGGTTTTTAACTCAGAAACAAACACGCCGTCATCTGTCTCTGCAGCTTGCTTTTCCGGAAAGTTAAGAAACTGCTGGGAGGACGGGTGAGGATGATGCTGTCTGGAGGAGCCCCCCTGTCCCCAGTCACTCAGAGATTTATGAATGTATGCTTCTGTTGCCCAGTGGGTCAGGGCTACGGCCTCACTGAAACCTGTGGAGCTGGCACCATCACAGAAGGTACGATGAGAGTTAAAGTGTAGCATAGGGAGTGTTTAAAGATGGGAATGATTAGCTATGTTGTTAAGACCTTGTTTGACATTTTTACAGTTGTGGATATCAGCACCAGTCGTGTCGGCGCGCCTCTTATTTGCTGTGAAATCAGACTCAGGGATTGGGCTGAAGGTACGGCTGAGAAACCTGTCGCTACATGCTGTACTCACAGTAAAGAATGGAAAATATTTGTTTAATTGCAGGGTAATTACATGTTGCTGTTTTTAACTTCTCAGGTGGTTACACCAGCAAAGACGAGCCGAATCCAAGAGGAGAGGTCCTGATAGGAGGCCCCAACGTAACCATGGGGTACTACAGGAACGAAAGCAACGATCAGGACTTTTTTGTGGATGAAAACGGGCAGAGATGGTTCTGCACCGGAGATGTAGGAGAGATTTACCCAGACGGCTGTCTACAAATAGTGGGTGTGTATATTTGTTCTCTAACCAGTTTGCCCTCAATACCATTCTCCGGTGTACAAAAGGCGAAACCATTCATGCCTCATTTTTTGGACGGGATCCATGTTCTGTGCTATTGTAACTTCTGACAGGTTGTTTGCACTTGTTTAGAAATGGCTGTGAACGCATATTTATATTCTCGTTTAGACCGCAAGAAAGACTTGGTTAAGCTGCAGGCTGGAGAGTACGTGTCACTTGGGAAAGTCGAATCTGCTCTGAAGAGCTGCACTCTCATAGACAACATCTGCGCATACGCCAACAGGTGAGTGAGTTCCTCCAGTTTATTTAGGAAAAGTTGAAGTTACAGGAAAATGTGATTTAGTGTCGTGTTTCTTCCACATCAATGGATGCAAATGCTGAATCTCGGAATTAGAAAATTGCTAAAAAATAATAATAAAATCAAGTGACAGTTTTTATGAGCTGTTCTCAAGACATCTATGCACTCATTAGCCACAACAGGTAAAACCACTGACAGGTGAAATAATAACATTGTCCCATTATAATGCCACCTATAAAGAGATCTTAGCATCTCCAAAACACCAGATGTTGTTGGGTGTGCCCAGTATGCTGTGGTTGGTATGTAGCAAAACGGGTTCAAAAAAGGACAACCGCTGGATGGGTAACAGGGTCATGGGTGTTCACGCCTAATTGATGCACACGGGGAGTGAACGATGCGGTCCGATCCCACAGAAGAGCTACTGTTGCACAAAATGCTAAAAACCTTCATGCTGCTATGATACAAAAGTGCCAAAACACAGAGTTCACAGTGGGTCGGTGGCTGTGTAGAGGGCTTCTTTTCCATTGCCTGAAGCACTTCACAATGAGTGTCTGAACTGAACCATTGAGCGATAGAAGAGGTCTGATGAATCACATTTTCTTCATGATGGATGGCTCTGTGTGTGTGTGTGTGTGCGCCTCGTTTACCTGCAGAAGAGATGGCAGCAGGTTGCATTGTGGGAAGAAGGCAGCCAGCAAAGGCTGTGTGACGCTGTGGGCAATACTTTTGCAGACCCCTTCGTGACAGTGTTACCTGATGGCAATGTTTGCTCTCAGCAGGATAATGTTACCTGCCACACTGGAACAAAAAAAAACAGTTTACGACTAGTTTGAGGAACATGACAGGGAGGTACAGGTGTTGACAAGGTCTATAAATTTCCCTGATCCAGCGTCTGCGGGATGTACTAGAAAAACAAGTCTGATCTGTGGTGAGCCACCCCTTGACTTGCCACACTGAATGGATTTGCAGCTAATTCCTTGTAGTCAAATAACACCCGACACCTCAGAGTTGTTCTGGGTGGTTGAGGGGGGACTGGTTGTATTGGTGTACACAGTTAATGGCTTTCTTTTCTTTATTTGTTTCTTGACTCTCTGGTAACTTTTACATGAGGGCCTCTCTAAGCAATGCCAGCTTTTACAACGATGACGTTCGTCTAGCAACACACAAATATGACAAACACTCACTCTTCAGATATTTGCCACCCTGCTCAGTCATTTGGAGGAAATTTCCTCAATCATAAGTTTTGTGCCCAACACAAAAGTATATTGCTTTTCACTTTAAACCTGCTGATGTCCATTTCAATCCATTTTGATATACTAATTGACCAAAGGCAATATGGCTCAAGTAATAATTACATATGGCAGGGGTAAACACGAAAAATATATCGTCATTCATGTATAACTGCTGTTATTGGGTTCTGATCTATATTGTGAATCATTATACACTGTATAGAAAGTTGCGTAATGCTTCCCCCCCTTAAAATATTACTTACAGTTCAGTCTAATTCAATACATCCCCTGAATATCAACCAGGTGTGTTCTGTTCTCTGGTTTATCAAAGTGTCATAATTTCATCTTGAGCCTTTTTTAAACATTTTCTTGCGTAAATAAGGAATGACCCACATCACCCGGCCCTTCCCCGGACTCCTCATACTAACAGTTACTCATTCTAGCAGTAGGCGTACAGAGAGAGGGAGTGAGAGAGAGTTATTTCTCAACTTTCCCAGCCCAGATGTTGACCTTTGCGCCACCGCTTGTGCCATTCCACGTCAACCGACATTTCGATTGCATTCATCGTTTTTCCTCAGCTGACATTCGGCCTCCTTGCTTTGTTTAAACTCCAACTAACACTTCAAACTGTTTCAGAACTTCACATCAAAACAACAAGGAATCCTCTAGAGCCCTCATAAATCTAACAACTTCCACTGCTCATACACAATTACCGCCAACAGCTTTCAGGGCTTATACTTGAGACAGCGCTGCTACGTTTCTGTGCATACACTTGTACTGCCACTGAATACTTTCAAGACTTCCACTGAATGTATCACCTACACTCTGGCTGACATCTGAACCCGTGAACCAACACTTCAGCTTCATTCAGTCATAGCAGTTATACTCTCAGCACTTTCCTTTTCACGATTTAACTATTAACTTAAATGCAAATATTCAGCGTCAAGCATTCATATGATTTTGTCTAACTTCAGCCTTTTCCTTACCTCTTGTCAACCTTGTATCATTCATCCTTGCAGTGACCAGAACTACGTGATCAGCTTTGTGGTTCCCAACCAGAAAAAGCTGATGGAACTGGCCAAACAGAGGAGCATCGTGGGAACATTTGAGGAGATCTGCACCCACCCTGACATGGAACGAGAGGTTCTGAAGGCGATCAAGGAGGTCGCTGTTAACAGTAAGAGTTGATGTCTTTTCATGATGTCGTGCTTTCATACATGCTTCTCACTCCAGTGCTCGTGTTCGTCCTGCGTTTTTCTGCCGCGCTATTGGCGAAAAACGCAAATTATTCATGAGTATGGGTGAACATCACTCTTCTCTTCTCACTTTTAGTTAAACTCCAGCGATTCGAGATTCCGGTGAAAGTGCATCTGAGTCCAGAGCCGTGGACCCCTGAGACGGGTCTTGTCACGGATGCGTTCAAGCTGAAGAGGAAAGAGCTGAAGAACCACTATCTCCACCACATAGAGAGAATGTACGGCGGGAAGTAACTTCGACGGTTCGACTCGGGAGTCTCCATTGTCACCATAACCACTGTTTCGATATGTAAATAATTGTCCTGGTACCCAGGTTTAGGCTGTTTATGTCCCACAGGCTTGAACACGTCTAGAGGAGAAAAGCTAAAGCTGTAGATAGTTGTAGCTGTCGATCCATACGTGCTGCTTTCTAGTTGTGTGTAGAAGTTTTGATTGTCCAGGAGACGCACCGAAGTGGCATCTCTTTGTTTCATGAAAAGGGTCTGAGACCGTTACAACAGCACTCAACTGCCATCCACTCCAGTCCGTTGGCACTCAGTTTGTAGCTGATTAAAAATACCACTGTCGTCCATACGTTGCTGACGCTTTGTTGTTACTTCCTTTGAAAAATATTAACAGAGGCCATCATCACGGAGGCTTGTAATGCTCTTTTGTAAAGTCGGAGTACTGGTGTTACTGTGCCTTCTGTCTGCAGTGCTTGTGTAGTCAAGCAGAAGTCGGCGGCAACTAGATAAAAACTACATGTGTGTTTGTTACAAAAGTGGCTAAGCTGCCATGTTGTTTACTTGTGACCTAAGGAAAAACACCCCCACCCCCACTCAGAGATACAGACATGGATCTTCAACAAAAAAGCACTTGTGTTCATGTCTGCTTTTCCACTCCCCCCCACCCCCTACCAATGACGATTTATTTATGCTTTTGTTGTTGTACTGACTTATTCAGAAAGGAAGACCAAAATGTGTAAACTTCAACGACTCAGGAAGATAAGCAAATGTTTTAATATATGAAATTGTCAAATAGTGGGGTTGCTTGTACAGAAACACTTCTGCCAGAATTCTTGTGGGGCACCTTATTTATTGAAGAGCAAGCATGTTTAACTACAAAAAATGCTCCTTATCAGAACTCGTATACTGTAATACTGTGCTTACTTTACCTCAGTTAACAGGTTCATGTACAATTTGGTATCAAAAGATGATCTGAACTCGAGTCGGTTCATTCTAGTACCATAGGAGTGTTTTCTATGTATTTTTCCAAGTATTGTCGTGCTGATGGATTTGCATCGTAGAAACTTTAAGGACACGGACAATGACAGCCACTTTACAGTTGTGTGGTGAACCTATTTGTATTTATTACTCCATCATTATGGTCACATGCCTTGTTCAACATTTCAGAAATAAACATCTTTTCGTATGAAGTGTGGTTCGACTTGCTTTATACCAAAAATATAAAAAAAAAACAACATGCAGCGTGTACAAAATCCAGCTTTTATTACTCTCAGCTATTCCAGTCTTGAAATCGAAAACAGTCACTAGCAATCTTCCAAACAGGCTGGTCATTGTTGGTCGAAGCCTGAGCCGTTAGAAGAAAGTTCTGGTTGAAGAAGCGCTGTTTGTTGCCTTCAAACTTGACCGTCCCACCGGTCACCACGAGCAGTGTGGTCTGGCCTTGAGTTGCTTGTTCTGTGAGTAGAGAAAGGTCAGACTGGTGGTGAACTGGCACGTCTCCATCAGTTTTAAATGACAGACCTCACCTTGATGTTGTCAAACTTAAAACTGCTTCCTATGTTAATCCCTTGATTCACAATTACACAGATCTTTTTTTACTCTTGGAAACACACTCAAAAATCACTAATAAGACTACAAAATCTCGCTCCACTGACCGTGAACTGGCTGACAATCCAGCGTGTGAACTTGGAACTCGCTGGATGGCAGCGACTCAAAAAACTCCCCGAGAGCCTCCTGTCCCGACACGGCATTCCCGTTCCACACCAAGGTCGCCTTGTCTAGGTAGAGCCGGGTCAAGTTCTACAACATCAGAGCCGGCGGATAATGATTGTTAGGAGCAGCATGACATTAACCAAAAGGAACATGCTGTGTGTGCTACATTAAGAGCCACAGCTGCCTCTGGAGGACAATACTGATATTGTTCTTTGAGGAAAAACGATATCTGATAATGTCGCAAGATTCATGTATTTTTTTTAGTAAGTGGGATTTGAACATTGAAAAATTATCACTGATCTCTGGTGAGCAAACTATGTGAGATAATCCATGTCAATTCAAACTTCTTTTTTTTCTAAATCTCTACACCTCAATTTTTATTTTATTTTTTTTGTGGTAAAAGATAAATCAATATGATAGAAAATATTACCAAACTAAATATTAGAGCCATTACAGAGCAGCTTTAGGGGTTCAACTGAATGCTGAGAAATGTTATATTCATATCATTTTGCCCATGAGAACAGAAATGCGTTTGGTCTTCAATGTTCTGGTCAGTTTGGCAACATGTAATGGGAATTTCTGAGCGACACATCTACAATCCTATCTGACCTGACAACACCCAGCAGGCCAATATCCAGACCTCACCTTTCTCTTATCATCTGTGGCATCGTGTCATTTGAATACAGCTGCATTTTACGGTTGCCTTTCACAGTCCCACGTCAAAGGAGTGTCTGTGTACCAGTCACACTGTCTGATTATTATCCTGTAAAACCACACCTGAGCAGGCTGTGAACAGCTCGAACACTTTGCATGTTGTGCTTGTGTGGCTACATGTAAAGCCTTTTCTGACTCTGATACAGAAAAGAGGATTAGTTCCATGGATCATTTATATGTTTATTCAGTGTAAATAATATAAAAATCATTTTCAATTTCTAACACTAATTAAAACATTCATATTATTCATATTTCATGTGTTTCAACAAACTAAGACCTCAAACACAAGAAAAATATGTATTGTAAAGCATGTAGAATAAGCTTCATATCACCCATTTATTTCTTATTTCACAGTATTTTCATTATGGAGAAAATGTGGAACTTGGATATGATATGTGGTGCTACAGTCAGCAGAAATCTGGACTTCCTTTTGCCGCTTTTGCTGAGGTTATGCCTGGAAATGAAAGTGCCTGCGCTGCATAATCCTGCATGACATCAACTACCATCATTAAATTAGTAATATTCACCCACTTAGTTTTCATATGCCAAATTTAGGGTGCATGATTTCTTCATCTACATGTTGAATTTATTTCTGACAAAACTGTTTCATAACTTGACCAACAAAGTGTTATTACATTTTGAGTTGTGACTATTTGAGGTACTCTGTTGCAGTGAAATTGAAATTTCTTGAGAAGTTCTTACACCTTAAGTAAATATTTTCAATTTCTTTCTAAAGTAACTTTTAAACATGTAAAAGCATTAACACAGGTGTGAAACTATTGGAATGAGATCTGTATGATCTGCCTAACAGTGTCAGATCTGGCAGAGGCTTGTACACAAAGTATATATCTGTCACCATAAGCGAGGGATACAACATTTTTAACAACCCACCACCTTCCAAATACCCTGTGTAATTAAAGCAAAAAGAGAGTTTTAACCCCCTTCTGTAAAAGTGGCTCTTATTGGATGAATACAATGAATTTTAAAAAAATAAAATAAAAAAGGGGATTTCAGCATCATGTAAGTACACTTTTCAACAAGGGAAAAAAAGATCAACATAAAGAAATGTGATGGGTCTGATTTGAATAGTTAAGAACTGTCTGAAAGAAGAAGAAAAAAAGTGTGTGTGTGTGTGATTATAAGTGTATAGTTGTCTATTTTTACTGAAAAGCCCAACCAGGAATGGGTGTTGAAAATCAGTTTAATGCTATACACTATATATGCAATACATCAGATGTTTTCTATGTAAAAATGCATGGTCCCTGACCAAATTAAATAAATTTAAAATTAAATTAAATTAAATTAAATTAAAACTAACTAACTAAACAAATAAATATAAAAATAAATAAACAAAAGTGCTGTGTATAGGCAGCAATGTAATTTACATCAAACATTCTGGCAATTTTGGACTCCGATGTCAAACAAATTGGCTGATATACACGCCAACATCTATATATCTGACTCTAGTGTTGGCCATGTATCAGTGCCCACATAAAATAAATTAATACAACACAAGAAGCTCACTGCTTACTATTGTTAGAACAAGACTCACCCTCCTTTTCTTATCCATGCAGTCGTAGTAAATGTTGACAAATTCTTCTGAATATCTGCACGACTGGTCGGCATGTGTCCTGAAATCCTGTGTGTGACAATCACGTAATTAAATCTAATAATTAAAACATTAAATTCAACTTGTGACAGCAGTATATGTGTTCGTGGTAACAGGCGCACATTGGACAACAGCTAGCCAGCTAGCTAGCTAGCTAGCTAGCAAAACACCACGACAGCTGGTTGCTTTGAGCATTAAAGTGCAGCGAAACACTCAAACTCACCAGCGTGCTCGCCATGAGGACTGAGATGTGTTTGGAACCAATACCGAGCTCTACTATCAGAAAAAAATAATGGGTATTCTTTAAAAGCAGCAGTTTAGGTTTTCTTTTTCTGGTTCAATTAGCTGCCTGCGCCGCCATTTTACTGCACGATTACTTCCGGGGCACCAGCGATACCTTTCAAAATAAAATGTTTATTTGAAATGCAGCTGCTTAACCAAAAGCTGGTAATCGTAAAATTTTAAAACAGTTGCTTTCACCTGTACATTATGTCTGTGGTGATGAATATGATTATTTTTTTTTGTCTTTTATGCTTTTTGTAGTGAAATAATTGCTTGCAATTTAAAGTGCAATCAGGCCTGATGTTTAAGATTATACAAGCTGCAAGTATGAATCGATTAGTTGGTAGCGACTTATGTAATCACCAAAATTAGTTAATTAATGTGCATATTTTTTATTATTTTTTTTTAAATTCTCTGATTGTAGTTTGTTAAACATAAATATTTGCAGGGTTTCTTTGATCGAATATAATGAAAACTGCATATCTCTGGGTTGTAGACAAACAAAGGCACTTGAGGATATAATCATGAGCTTTGAGAAACACTGATGATTTTTTTTTTTCTTTTTAGCATTTTCTGACATTGTAGAGACCAAACAACTGATCCAATCATACAGAATATAATCAACAGATTCATCAACAATGAAAATAATCAGTAGCAGCAACCCCAGATTACAGGCAATATAATAGTATTGTTCTAGTGTTTAGGCTGTTCGTGTGTCTAACATATTTGTTTCAACTATAATTAACATAGTTTATGTATAAGACTTTTTAAAGCAGCTATGGGCCATAATTTAAAAATGTAATTAAAAAAAATAAAGATAAAATCCCTATGAAATTAAAATTAAATCAAGTCATTTTGATGCATTAATAACATTTTAGTCACAACATGGGCTGCAGTCATTATCGACAAGTGGATATACAGCATTGTAGTAGCTTCTTTAAAAAAAGAAAGAAAGAAAGAAAGAAAGGAAAAAACTTTTTAAGCAAGTTTAAAAAAAAATGTATTGGTTGTTATTTAGCACATGGAGCAGATCAAATAATACAGACACAGTATAATGAGTTTTGGCAGGTTATCACTTTTTGGCAAAAACACGGTTTGCATTTTTTGTTCTTCTTTAATGAATTAATAGGAAAAACGGTTGAAAAAATAACGACTGAATCGACAGTATTCAGGGTCACTTCCTGTCGAGAGCTCGGCTGGTATTTTATTTTGAAGGGAAGAAAAGTCGACCCGTGAAGAAGTTCATAATTTCCTGAGTCATTGCGCCTCTGGTTCAAAACATCTCCGTAGAGTCTCCGGCACTGTGTGGTCCATGATGGAGGGTTCTGTCTCGGATGTGGAGGTCTGTAACTTCGCCTACACGGGACAGTTTGAGAAGCTCAGACAGTGTATCCTGTCCGATAAAACGCTCGCCTGCAAAACGGACCAGGTAAGAAAACATGACCCAGCAAAAACCTCTGAGGACTTTGTGTTTAACCCAACAAGAACTGAAACAACTGTGTGGTCTCAGGTCCGCAGAACCGCGCTGCACTGGGCCTGTTCTGCCGGACACACCAACATCGTGGAGTTCCTGCTCGACCTGGGGGTTGAAGTGAACATACAAGATGATGTGAGCACAGTTTCTGTTCAATATGACACTCTACTGTGTGTAAAGCAAAGCACTGTTATGTCTTTTTTTGATCCTCTAATGAGATATCTGCCCTTTAATTTGCTGCCAGGAATGCAGCTCCAGTGTTCTGATAATGTCACTGTGTGTGTTCTCCTCCACAGACTTGTTGGACTCCTCTGCACATCGCAGCATCTGCAGGCAGAGAAGACATCGTTAGATCTCTGATATCCAAAGGAGCTCAGCTGAACTCAGCCAACCACAACGGATGCACCCCTCTGCACTATGCGGCCTCCAAGGACAGATATGAGGTGAGGCTCCCGGCTGATGCAACATGGCTGGGGTTCAGAGGGGGCATAGTTCCTTACATGAACCTGACAGCAACTTAACAGGTCAGCTTCTTGTTTTGAACGACTATCCTGGTACCTGGAACTTAGCTGCTCCTCTGAACTAGTCTGACCTGCACCCAGTCACATTAGCGAATATGCATTTTATCATTAAATATAATTTTTAATAGCATTATTAGTCTGTTCATTTGCACGGACAGGTGCACCACCTGACGTTCTGGGGTTTGACAATCTAAAAAAGAAAAGAAAAGGATTATTGGAAAGTTCTGAAGATGTGTTCAAACTAAACATGTCATGAATTGGTTCAGTTATATTAGAAGGATATAATCCACTCGGACAAAAAAAATATGCATGTCATGTCATTGACCCACACACTAAGCGACAGTACCAGCTGTGTCAAGGGGTTTAAGAGAAGGCTTTTTCCACATATCGTCCTAAAACATCACAGAGAGAACAAAAGACAGTTTGCATTCCAAAATCAACACTGTTCTTCTTCACTCTGCTCCACAATTTCACATCTGTTAGGCTACGAACTGAAACCTCAGTAAAATCCAAACTTTACTGTAATGAAAACAGACTAACGGCTCAGATTAACGATACTCACCACGTAATCAGATTTGTTTTCCTTTATTTGATTAAATGTCAAGAGGAGCTGAAGTTCAGGTGTTGCTTCCAGTTGTTTGTAGGAGTCTTTCCTCTAAGCATCACACGGGCATTGAATTTTTAGTGTTTAGAAAATCTTACACAAGGATATTAGTTCATTTGGACAGTTTGATAAGCTACTATTAGTTAAGATAAAGTGTTTGTTATTGCGTTATTGTAAATCACAACACACGATCTACTGTCCAATCTAGCATGAACGACAAATATTTTATTCAGACCTGGGCTCTCAACAATTACTTTTGTCTGAAAGGCAGAATGCCNACGATTACTTCCGGGGCACCAGCGATACCTTTCAAAATAAAATGTTTACACTTTATTTGAAATGCAGCTGCTGAACCAAAAACTGGTAATGGTAAAATTTTAAAACAGCTGATTTCGCCTGTACATTATATCTGTGGTGATAAATATTATTATTTTTTTGTCTTTTATGTTTTTTGTAGTTGAATAATTGCGACCAAAGGAATGCTTGCAATTTAAAGTGTAATCAGGCCTGGTGTTTAAGATTATACAAGCTAAAATGATTAATTGATTAGTTGTTAGTGACTAAATTAATTGGGATAATTTGTTAAATAATGTACATATTTTTTATTTTTTTTAATTCTCTGATTCTAGTTTATTAAACATAAATATTTGCAGGGTTTCTTTGATCGAATATAATGAAAACTGAATATCTCTGGGTTGTAGACAAACAAAGGCACTTGAGGATATAATCATGAGCTTTGAGAAACACTGATGATTTTTTTTTTCTTTTTAGCATTTTCTGACATTGTAGAGACCAAACAACTGATCCAATCATGCAGAATATAATCAACAGGTTCATCAACAATTAAAACAATCAGTAGCCGCAACCCCAGATTACAGGCAATATAATAGTATTGTTCTAGTGTTTTGATTGTTAGTATATCCTTGTTTTAACTATAATTAACATAATTTATATATAAGATGGGCCATGATTTTTTTTTTAAAACCCTTATGAGTTAAATCAAGTCATTTTGATTTTTTTAATAACATTTGAGTGACAACATAGGCTGCAGTCATTATCGACAAATGGAAAATCGCATCATAGTAGCTTCTTTAAAAAAGAAAAGAAAGAAAGAAAGAAAGAGAAAAAAACCTTTTCAAGCAAGGTTAAAAAATCTTGGTTATTATTTAGCACATGGAGCAAATAAAATAATACAGACACACAGTATAGTGAGTTTTGGCAGGTTATCACTTTTTTTTTTTTTTTT